GTAAATAAGCCTTGGATGGTGGCAACTCAGTTCGATAAGCGCTGCATCTTTCTTGAACAGCCTCAGGAGACTTGAGCTCTCCAGTGGGCATCTTGACCGTGAGATGTTCAGAATGTTCTCCCAAGATTTGTGATCAAGAACCGCTCTGCAGCGATGCTCAAGTGTGCTAACATCATTTCATTACGACACTAGAAAAACTGGCAAGTATCTTTTCCGAGGCGCTCAGCGAGCTCCTAAGTGAGCGGAGCTTTCGGAGAGACGCTTGACAATGTCTTTCCCAAGACCAACGGTGTGGTATTTCTCGACTCCAACAATCAGATGAGTCTAGATCAGACTGTTGTTTGTAGTGCTGGACTGTGTGAAGATATGGTGTCTCTTGGCTCACAAATAAGTAGAGGCTCCGGAATGAGGACAGCGTTTGTAGTGATGGACTGGGTGAAGGCGTAATTATCGTCACCGTACAGGAAGCCGACTATTCGCGCAGAGTCATGCTCCTCGGCCGCGACGCTCAAATTGCACCAGAGACAAGATGCTGCTCGTGGTGCTTGAAGGTGTAGTCATTATCACCATACGAAAAGGCGATCATACACGCGATATGTAGGGTTAGGGAATTCAAGACCGCATTCGAGTTTGCCGCGATCCCTGCCAGACCGACGACGTAGTATGTTTCGGCTACGATGCTCAGTCGTGCCAAGACTAGAATGTTGTTTGTCGTACTCGACTGGGCGAAGGTATAGTTATCGTCACCGTATAGAAAGGCGATCATGCGGGCGATGATGTAGTATGTCTCGGCTACGATGCTCAGATGTGCCGAGATTAGAATGTTGTTGTCGTGCTCGACTGGGCGAAGGTGTAGTTATTGTCACCGTATAGAAAGGCGATCATGCGGGCGATGATGTAGTATGTCTCGGCTACGATGCTCAGATGTGCCGAGATTAGAATGTTGTTGTCGTGCTCGACTGGGCGAAGGTGTAGTTATTGTCACCGTATAGAAAGGCGATCATGCGGGCGATGATGTAGTATGTCTCGGCTACGATGCTCAGATGTGCCGAGATTAGAATGTTGTTGTCGTGCTCGACTGGGCGAAGGTGTAGTTATTGTCACCGTATAGAAAGGCGATCATGCGGGCGATGATGTAGTATGTCTCGGCTACGATGCTCAGATGTGCCGAGATTAGAATGTTGTTGTCGTGCTCGACTGGGCGAAGGTGTAGTTATTGTCACCGTATAGAAAGGCGATCATGCGAGAGACGCTGTAAGGTTTGCTGCACCCATCGCCGTCAATGAGTCTGTCTGATGTTAACCTCGCTTGGCCGACTCTGAGATGATGTAGGGCTTGCTGCCTCCATCACCGTCAGTGAGAGAGTCTGTCTGATGTTGACCTCGCTTGCTCGACTCCGAGATGTGAATGTCAGATTGACTCTGCATTGGGAGTGGAGGGAGACAGAGCGTGGTCTGCCACTTTTATCGCCGTCGGGAAAGTTTCGATCTTGTATACATCTCGCTTAGTCGGTGGTGTTGGTGGTAAATGAAGGTGTGGTTGTCGTCATAATCCAAAAGGCAATGTTTCGCACAATGCCATTGGGACTGCTATGTCCATCACTATTGGACATATCAGGCCTGATAGCTATCTCGCTGGGTCGACCCTGCGATGGAATTGCTAGATTGACTGCTCGATGAGGAAAAGACAGACAAAGCGTCACGTCGTTGAAGTTGCATATCCATCTGAATGATGCCGACTGGGAGCAGATTGTGGGCTTGTGTATCATATGGTGCCTATTTCCGCGGGCGATGCTGAGGTTGTAGAAATCGTCGGTCACGCCCCAGGTCTGACAAAGAGCGCCCAAGCTCGTCTGCACAGCGTCGACTGAGGACAGATGATTGCCTTATGTACACAGCGTGGACTGAGGACAGATGACTGCCTTGCGTACACAGCGTGGACGATGACAGCTGATAGCCTTGTGCACAGCATGCGTTGGTGTCCGTAGCTAGTATCTGATCCATTCTGCACGTAAGTGCTTGGAGGATTCTCGTGTGGAGGGCAATCAAAGCCTTCTGGTTAGTGGTGTTCGTAGCTAGGATCTGATCCATTCTGCGCGTACGTGTTTGGAGGACCTCATGTCTGTGGAGGCCAATCAAAGCCTCTCGGTCCGTGGTGCTTTCGCCGCCGTCCTTACCTCGTTGTCAAGCTCCAAAGTTCCTTGAGTGTGTTCGTAGCTAGGATCTGGTCGCCTCTGCACGTACGTGCGTGGAAGAGCTCATGTCTGTGGAGGGCAATCAAAGCCTCTCGGTCCGTGGTGCTTCCGGAGCCGTGTTGCCTCGTTGCTGAGTGTCGGATCGCTAGACTTCTTCCATTGTGTGATGCAATCGTCGTGCTTGCCTCATTGCTGATTTCAGATCCCTTGATTCCTTCCTCCAGTAGTCGATAAGTAAGGAGCTCGTCATCGTGTTCTGCAGTAGCTGTATCTGCTTCATGGCTGAGGTCAACACCTTCAATTCTTCCTCCAGTAGTCGATGAGCAAGCAGTTCGTCATCGTGTTCTGCAGTAGCCGTATCTGCTTCATGGCTGAGGTCAACACCTTCAGTTCTTCCTCCAGTAGTCGATAAGCAAGCAGCTCGTCATCGTGTTCTGCACAGCAATCGCCGTTCCTGCTTCATGGCTGAGGTCGAATACCTTCAGTTCTTCCTCCAGTAGTCGATAAGCAAGGAGCCCATCGTCGCGTTCTGCGGTCGCCGTACCTGCTTTATTGCTGAGGTCACTGTTCACTTCGGTTCTCGATGAACGATTTGATGACCGTCGCGTGAGAGCTGCCCAAATCCGTAGCACATTTGTTTGTGACGCCGGCGATAGCTCGCCAATACTAGGAATTAGGTAGTGGGTTGGTCTTTTTGCTCTTGGTGAAATCGCGGAGGGTCAGAGCTGCCCTGACTGTAGCCAGACCGGCCATGCGCTCGAGGTGTCGCTGCTCGTCGATGAACGAATCGCCGTCGCGCTGCCGTCCCATTCGCATGCGCTCGAGGTGTCGCTGCTCGTCGATGAATGAATCGCCGTCGCGCTGCCATCCCATTCGCTTGGGCTCGAGGTGTCGCTGCTCGTCGATGAATGAATCGCCGTCGCGCTGCCATTCCATTCGCATGCGCCCTTGCACAGTCTTCTGAGATGTTGCTTTCGTGACGCAGGACAGGAGGGGACGAACGATGTGGTATTTGGCCAGCAAAATACAGATCAACGTCCTCGAGTTCTTCCTCCAGTAGTCGATAAGCAAGGAGCTCGTCGTCACGCTATGCGGTCGCCTTTTTGGATGGGGCCATAAGCTAGAAGTCTGTCGTCGTGTTCTGGAAATGCGATTTTGATGAGAAAAACACAGCGACCCAACCAATTCCACAATATAAGTGTTCAAAGTCCCTAGAAGAGCAATCGTGTCCGCCAGTAAAGTTTGTTTGATGCCCCTTTGTTCGGACCGCTCGTAGCGCTTGAGTAGATCATGGGGGAAGGTGCGGGCGGGTTTGTGTGGGCGGTATCGTACCAGGTAGAAGAAACTTTTGATATCCACTTAGTGGAAATTATCCTAATACGTAAACTTTAGATTATTCCATGGACAAGGAGCGTGATCGACATACCACAAATTGCGCGTCGGCTGAAAAGTCGAGTGAGAGCAGGTGATGGCCCTGTCAACGACATATGTACTCATTCCGCACGGAGTCGCTCAGATCGGACAGGGCGCTGACTGTGCACAGCGAGCGAATGCGGAAAGCATAGAAAGGCTATCAACCTGTTTCCGCGGCGTTGTTTGTGATAGGAAGGTGAGAGTCGAAACAACTGGCGGCTTGGGACCAACAGAGAGAGTTGAAATTGCACGTCAGCTTGAAAAGCGTAGACTGACGCCATTCCTGCGAGATATACTTAGTTCAGTCAAAGATGTCGCCGGTGCCGTGTGGCGAACAGACCATGAGACAAGGGCGCTTTCGTGGAAGTGAAGGGCCCGCTTGATGATACGTGGACGAGCTAATGTGCCGCTTCACAGGTGAATGATTTGTGTACGTGATGGGTTTCCATTCCGCAAGTGCTAATAAAGGTCCGAGTGATCACCAACGATGCATCCCATGTGAATTTTCCAGGGCAACGAATGTCAAATATGGTGAGAGTGTCTCAAAGATCACTGGTGGTGTAGTGTGGGCGCATTTTCAAGAGAATAGCGTGTGACTGAGGCTTCACGCTTGACGATCTAGAGCTTGTGTCTCCATGTCATTGCTATGGTATCTGATAGAGCTCCGCTGTGAAGGCCAAGGTCGACAGGGCTCTACTCGAAGGCCGAGATCAAGTGCCGGTCCGTAAGTCTTTGTCATAGGCATGTTGCTTGACAAAGCACCCTGGGCTGTGAAAGTCGCCTGAATGAGGGTGAGATCGAAGAGAAAAGCGTGCGAATTGAACCTGCCTCGAGTCACTTGGAACGTCCATGCTGTGGCTAAGGGGCAGGCCGCGCATAGCCAGCAGATCCGCGAATGCAGTGCAGCACTCGTGACTCTGTGTTGTCGGCACCAAGCTAGGAGGGCCAAAATCAAATGTATGAGCAGAATTTCGAGAAAAGGAAAAGCGACAAGAGTTTGCCTTCACCTGCGTGTGTTGTTACCGCTGAAAGAGTAGTGGGGGAAACCTTTCTGAATATTGCTACCGCCCACGAAGTGCCGAACACTTTTCCTGGTCCTGCCACGAGGAAAAGAGGGAGTAATCACCCCAGTTCATCTGCTACTTCAGGTGGCGTGTACTTGTTGTGGCGTCATGTGCAATGTACGTAAGCGACTTCGCTACCACCCGAATGGCCCCACGAATCGTTTCGCGTCCACTGATGAGTTCAGGAGCCAGGTGAAAAGTCAAAACGGCACAATTATTCTGGCTGTGGTCCATTCCATGTATGCTTTTGAAACTGATACACAACGAGAAATATCGTATTAGATACATTCCAAAAATGTCGCGGATCTACCAAGATCACGCAAAAGATTTCCCCGCTCCCAGAATCGAACTGGGGGCCTTCCGGTTTGCTTTCGGTGTGCCGAAAGTCGACTATTGAAATTACAGCCGGACGCGATAACCAACTACACCAAGCGGGGTGATTAATACCCTTTTGAGCACCTGAGATGCTCTTGGATGGTACAACTTGACCCACGCGGAATATATATACTCTAAGAAATACTGGAAAATTTTCATGTCTCCCGCAATACAGGTAATTAGAACTGCGTGCCAGTTCGTTTGGCAGGCGGGCGAAGCGCAAAGTTGTCGTCCGCAGACCATCGCAGAATGCACAGCAGTTCCCCATCAACGGCCGCAGACGCAAAGTTGCCTCTTTGCAAACTCAGAATCAGGACCTTCGTTGTCCTCCCTTCCCCCGGGGAAGGGAGCATTTCTTTTTTGTTTTTGAGCTATCAAATATTTTTTGAAATCATTTTGGACACATCAAATGGCCACAGAACCAGGTGGTGGTTTTGCGGATGTCTGTCCGCGCTCCTGCCTTCGACGCCTGCGTGGCCGTCGCATATGGAAGGAACGGTGTCCGGAGACTAGGAGTATCATTGATAGAAGAGCTACCTGGTATCGATATATATTTGCACAGCCTATGCCTCCCACGGTTTCTGAATAATCTACAACGCTTGGTTCAGAGTATCGCGCATCGAAGAAAAATTGATTTGGACAATGTCGCCCATCGCGAGAGGGATGGTCCCTCGCAAGATATCTGAACAGTACTGGGACCATATGTTGGTCAAGATGCTTGTTAAGTGCTAACTACTACTGTGTTCCATTTAAAAAATTTGTTGCAGTCGCGGAATTCTGATATAAGGTATGCGCAAACAAGGAGAAATCACAGAAATTGTACATATTGTGCTTCCCATGAATTCTTGGTTCTTAAATTGCTGAGGGACTAGTCATACGAATATAATGCTGGAGGTATTGGTTCCCCTATGCAAAGGGTGGCGCACATGTGAAAGCCCGGACGGGGTCGATCCCGCAAGTGACGTCGTGTGTCGTCGTCCGAGAACCTCAGCTCCCGCCGATTGTTCTTGTTGCGACAATTGATCAAGCGGCCAATTTGCACCCTTGTCCACTATACCTGAACGCTCTCTGGCAATGCGATCCACTTTGCGGTAGTACTACCCACAATAATGCGGGCCGCTGGGCACATCGCCCGGCACTGGGTCCGATGCAGTTCACAGCAAACTATACACATTTCAACGCGTCCAAGTCTTCGAAGATCTCTACTGCAGCAATCGCGGCACTTCTCCAGCACTATCGGCAGGGCCAGGATCTTCTTTCGATCTCCGCCACCTCCGTTCAAAGGCGGCGCAGCATGTCTAGCAGCGGCTGCGGTACTATCTCCTGCGGCCTTCATCGAGCTAAGCGAAGAGGACCTAGATGACGGGAAGACGGGAGAAGAGCATATGCTCGAAGCATCTAGGAAAGAGCTCGAAGAATCGGTGCCTGACTATCTTAAGGGCTCGAAGACTGTGAGGGTCGGTGCGTGGCATTTCATCGATACATATATCATTGAGCCCATTGCTACGGGATTTCGGCTACTACATCTGATGATTATCTTTGTGCCGGTCATTGCGACCGTGCCTATCATTTGGTTCGGCGCACGGATCAAAGACAAGGACAATGAAAGGAGTGGCACGATTTGGTGGTATGGCTTCCTGGTCAGATCAATGGAGCGGGCAGGCGCAGCTTTTATCAAGGTTGGCTAGACTTAATCGCAATTACGAAGACCAAGATACTGACATTGACAGCTCGGGCAATGGGCGGCGTCGAGAACGGACATATTTCCAACGCAGATGTGTCTAATCATGTCTGCGCTGCATTCAAACGCCCCCGCACATTCGCTTTCGGTCACTAAAAAGACCATCGAGCGGGCTTTCGAGATGCGATTCGAAGATATATTCGAAGAGTTCCAGGAGAAGCCCCTCGGAGTTGGTGCCATTGCACAAGTCTACAAGGCTAAGCTAAAGTCTGAGCTGGTCGTGATTGAGGATCCTGACGTGGCTCATGTTCCGAATGCTATGGAGAGGATGCGCAAGAACATCGACACGACACTTAAGTCAACGCCGCAGCGGACGCCATCTACTTACGTGGCAATAAAGGTTCTACATCCAAAGATAGAAAGGATTGTGCGCCGCGATCTGAAGATCATGTCGTTCTTTGCATATCTCATTAACGCTATTCCGACAATGGAGTGGCTGTCTTTCCCTGATGAGGTAACTCAATTCGGGGAAATGATGCGCCTACAATTGGATCTACGTATAGAGGCAGCGAATCTCTCACGATTCCGTAAGAACTTTGCGGACCGCACGACCGCTTGGTTTCCATTCCCTTACACGCAGTACACAACGCGGCAGGTCTTAGTCGAGGAGTTTGCGCATGGCATTCCCATGGAGCATTTCCTGCAGAATGGTGGAGGCCCATATCAGAAGGAAATCGCTGACGAGGGTCTTGACGCTTTCTTACACATGCTTCTCATAGATAACTTCATTCATGCGGACTTACATCCGGGGAACATTATGGTCAGATTTTATAAGGCAGCAAGTATAGATGTTGGCAAGAGCAAGGCAATGCGACGGATCATGGGAGAGAAAGCGCATGAGTTGCGAGACAAGAGCGACGTTACGGAGGAAGTGCTCGAGAGGCTCCGACCATTCCGCCACCAGAAAGATCGGTGGACAGAGACTTTGACCCAACTTGACCATGAAGGCTATCGACCGCAGCTAATTTTCATCGACACTGGGCTTGTAACGGAATTGAACGCTGTCAACAGGCGCAATTTCCTGGATCTCTTCAAAGCTGTGGCTGAGTTTGATGGATACAAAGCTGGCCACTTGATGGTGGAGCGTTGCAGACAACCGGACGCCGTCATCGACAAAGAGGTATTCGCATTGCGCATGCAACATCTTGTACTTGGTGTGAAGAGCCGGACCTTCGCGCTAGGCAACATCAAGATCGGTGATATTCTCAATGAAGTGCTCAGCATGGTTCGCGGACATCACGTCCGTCTCGAAGGCGACTTCGTCAACGTCGTTCTGAGCATCCTGCTGCTCGAGGGTATCGGGCGAAGTCTGGATCCAGACCTGGACCTATTCTCGGGGTGAGTATCTGCCACCCGGTTCGATGATATCTAGCTAATATGACCTTCAGTGCTCTTCCGATCCTCAGACAGCTCGGCGCTCAAGGTGGTGCGTCCATTCTTCGAGGTGGCGATCTGTCCATGGTCAAGGTATGGGCCGGACTGGAGGCCCGGAAATTCCTCCAAGCATCGGTGCACAGTGTCGAGATGTGCGTCAAGTACGACCAATTATCACCGAACGTGTAATGTATGCAGATAAGAAATCATGTAATCCGGATTTGATCACCTCCACTCTGCATGTCTTTGTTCCGAGTAGCCGATGGGGCCCTGCACCTTCTTTGATACCTAAGGTAAGGAAATCTCTAGTGTAGGTTGAGATCTCTATATGCTGTAAGTCACGGGCCCAATCATGACGACAATCAAAGCTATGTCGAGAGTTTCTGAGGCACAAGTTATGTGTCGTGCCCGATGAATAGTAGGTCAACTGGCAGAACAATCAGCATAACAGATAGCAGGACAATCGGCACAGCAATGGGCAGGACAACCAGCGAGACAATCAGCAGGACGAACCAGCAGGACAGTCTGTATGTTGATAAGGACGGTCAAATTCTGAACTATAGGCGGTGTCACGAGCAGACTAACGTAGGAAACCACTAAGAGGAAGTTGAGGGAAACGACTGGTGGGGCAACCAGGAGGGCAACGAGGAGGACAACGAGGAGGACAACGAAAAGGACAACGAGGAGGACAACGAGGAGGACAACGAGGAGGACAACGAGGAGGACAACGAGGAGGACAACGAGGAGGACAACGAGGAGGGCAACCAAGAGAAGAACGAGGAGGGCAACCAAGAGAACAACGAGGAGGGCAACGAGGAGGGCAACGAGGAGGGCAACGAGGAGGGCAACAAGGAGGACAACGAGGAGGGCAACAAGGAGGACAGCTAGGAGTGCAATCAAGAGGGGAACTTGGGCAGCAAGTGGGGGAGCAAGTGGGGGGGCAACTGGGGGAGCAGCTAGGGGGACAACTAGCGAAACGAGGAATGCAACAACGAAGGGGAAGACGAGGGGGACGAAGAAGGGGACGAAGAAGGGGACGACGAGGGGGACGACGGGGGAAACAACGAGGGGAACGACAAGCACGACGACGAGCACGACTACGAGGGGGATGACGAGCACGACTACGAGCACGACTAGGAGCACGACTACTAGCGCAGCGATGAGCAAGACGGTGAGCATGGCCATGAGCACGACTACGAGCGCAGCGTTGAGTACAACGATGAGCACGGCGATGAGCACGACGATGAGCAGGACGACTAGTACGGCAACAAGCGGGGCAAAGAGCACGACGACTACTAAGGCAAAGAGCATAATGTGTATCCGCGCGATCTAGCCGCTTCTGTCGTGGATTTCAGAGGTGGCAACATGGTTGCAGCGGACCACAAGAGCTGCGCGCTTGATTGACGTGACCGGGTTCGACCACGATGTGTGTTGGATTGATGCACCACGCTTGATGGCATACGTGCGACAATTCGTGTTCCCCTTTCAGGAGTGGCAATGCGTTGCCACGGTTGACCACACCGGCACCGCTGAGCAATGACCTGATCCATTTTCCAAATTTGAATTTTTCGTGTACTTTCTCACAGCCCGTCCGCGGGCATCTTGCTCTTTCCGGCCACAGATATGCAAGAGCTATCGTCTTGTTAGCGATAATTTCGGAAACAGTCCATGGAGGATTGACGAACTGGTACCTCGGTTTTCGCTATCACCTTTAGGCCGCTAGAATAAAGGGATGCAACCGAGATCCTTCATGCTATCATAGATAGCTCTGCCGTCTACTTGTAACTCGGAATCAGTCTTGGAATCGAGCCCAAGCATGAAGCCATCTTGAAAAGACAGTCCTCGGGAATTCGCATGCCGAAGTCATTGAAATGGCGCTCTATGCGGCAAGCATCTTCTATCGGTCCTCTCCAGTCTTCAGGGCGCATCCAAGCCGATGAGTTCAGC